TCTTTGTGTGGTGAGGGCACCACAAGGGACTATTAGCTATATAAAATTACAATCTATAAAATTACAATTATAACAGTACACTTCCATCTAAAATATTATTGTTTTCCATTACTTTAAGTTTGTAATCACTTATTGATTTTCCCTACCAAAATACTCCAATGTCATGCGTGTACCAAACATAATAATCTACATTGTGATGAGCTTAGCAATGACTCATGGAACCAGGTAACTAAGCAGTAGAGAGAAACATGTATCGAAGAAGAAAAATGGAGAGAAGAAAGATGGAGAGTTTATTGTGTTTGTTACACTTGGAGAATGAACACACAGCAGGGACTATATACACGAAGCAGTTATAACTGCTAAAGAGAGGGAAAAGACTAAAAAGTCCTTCCTTATTAACTAACATCAACTACCACTTGTTGAGCAAGAGAGAACTGCTGCTGTTGGACCAATTCATCAACTGCTGCTTCTTGATTCATTCATCACCCCCCCGGTAAGCTGGAGCATGAAGATCTTGAAGGCCCAGCTTAGTATAAAAATGATCAAAGAGAGGCTTGGCTAGGGGTTTAGTAAAGCCATCAGCTACTTGACTGCTTGAAGCAACAGACAATAGCTTAATTGTTCCATCATGCACTTTTTGTCTCACAACATGGCAGTCTATTTCAATGTGCTTAGTACGTTCAAGAAAAACATAATTTTCCCCTATAGCAATAGCAGACTTGTTGTCACAAAACAAAGCAACAGAGGTCTCAAAGCTGATCTGCAAATCTGCCATCAAATACAGAAGCCATTGAATCTCACAAGTGGTGGAAGCTAAAGCTCTATACTCAGCCTCAGAGGATGACCTTGAAACTGTGACTTGCTTTTTAGCTTTCCAAGATATCAAAGACTGCCCAAGGTATATACAATAGCCAGTGATGGACTTCCTTGTTTCTATACAAGAAGCCCAATCTGAATCAGAGAATGCTTTCAGCTTTACAGTAGATTTTGCTGGATAGAACAGACTTGTTCCAGGTGATCTCTTGAGATATCTAAGGACTCTATGAGAAGCCACCAGATGAGTATCCTTAGGCTTATCCACAAATTGGCTTAGCTGTTGAACAGCAAAGGATATATCAGGCCTGGTATTGGTGAGATATAGGAGCTTTCCAATCAACCTTCTAAATACTTCAGGCTTGTCAAGGGGCTGCCCTTCCAAAGAAGTCAATTTCTGTCCAGTGTTGAAGGGAGTGCTTGCTGGTTTAGCTTCTAAGAAGCCATTTTCTTTCAAGATTTCCGGAGTGTATTTTCTCTGGCAGAGATTGAAACCACTGGCTGTTCTGTATGCTTCTATTCCCAGAAAGAAATTAAGATGGCCAAGATCCTTGATTTTGAAAGACCTATCTAGAAAAAGCTTCAAATCACTAATCTGTTCAGAGCTTGGCCCTGCCACTAGGATATCATCCACATCAACTAATAGAGCTGTGAATGATGAACCTGTGCCTCTGGTGAAAAGTGAAGGATCAGCAGAAGATTGAGAAAAGCCAACTTCCAGCAGGGCTTTGGTTAGTTTGGCATTCCACTGCCTACTAGCCTGCTTAAGACCATATAGAGATCTTGAGAGCTTGCATACTTGTCCAGGCTTATCACTCTGAAACCCTGGTGGCAATAGCATATAGACTTCCTCATCTAAATCACCATGAAGGAAGGCATTATTAATGTCCAACTGTTGAATGTCCCACTTCTTTGCAACAGCTATGGCCAAGAAAGTTCTGATTGTAGTCATTCTTGCCACAGGAGAAAAAGTCTCCAAGTAATCCACTCCCAACTGTTGTGTATAACCCTTAGCAACCAATCTTGCCTTGTACCTTTCTATTGAGCCATCAGCTTTGTGCTTCACTTTATAGACCCATCTGCAACCAATAGGGACTTTCCCAATTGGCAAGTCTGTTATGACCCAAGTGTTGTTTTCTACTAAAGCCTTTATCTCAGCATTCATTGCTTCTCTCCAGGATTTATGTTGTACAGCTTCAGCATAGGATTGGGGCTCATGTGTGGATGAAATAGCAAGGGCACATGCCTTATGACTGGGATGCAGGTGGTCATATGATATAAACTTCTCAATGAGGTGAGGAGATGTTTTGGTTGCTGAGTGGCAATAGTAATCCTGCAACCTTGATGGAATATTCTTATTCCTAGATGACCTCCTTAAATGAGTCTCACTCACTTGGCCTTCTCTGCTGTTAGATTGCAACTCATGAGTTGCATTCACTTGCTCTTCTGTGTTGTCAATCTCATTGCCCTTTTCTGAATTATTAATGTTGCCATGAGCTAAACTTTCTGATTCACAGTTGATCTCAATCTCAAAATTGTCATTGTTGCCCATACTGCTGCTTCCATCATTTTCATTCCCAACTGCTGCTTCAGTCAGTGTGTGTGTTGGGATAGGAGTTGGGATATCTGCTGTGATAGGGACCAGAGGCAAAGGAGGGTTGAACCTTGCAGCTGTGTCAATGTTAGGCTCACCTGAATTCATCACTTTGAAGGGGTATGTCTGTTCATGAAAATGGACATCTCTAGATACAAAGATTGAACTATCAATCATGTCATACAATATATATCCCTTCACATTTGCTGGAAACCCAAGGAAGACACATTTCTTGGCCCTTGGTTGAAATTTATGTCTTCCCTGCTTAATGGTGGCCCCAAAACACAAGCACCCAAAGGTTTTCAACTGATTTTAGTCTACAGGTTTTCCAAACATCATTTCAAATGGTATTTTTCCATCAAGAGCTGTGGTAGGCAGTCTATTGATCAAGAAGGAGGCATGAAGGATACAATGACCCCAAAAGTTCACAGGCAACCCTGACTGAAACCTTAAGGCTCTTGCTACATTCAATATATGTTGGTGTTTTCTCTCTGCTATACCATTCTGCTGGGGTGTGTGGACACAAGATTTCTGATGCACAATCCCTTTCTCATTAAAAAAATCAGTCATTAAGAACTCTCTTCCATTATCTGTTCTTACTGACCTAATTTTAGCAGAAAATTGTGTATGCACATAGGAATAAAAGCTCTGGAATATAGGCTTGGTTTCTGACTTATGCTTCATCAAATGTAGCCATGTGAACCTAGTATGATCATCAACTATAGTCAAGAAATAGTGCTCCCCTTTAAGAGTTGCAGTAGCAAAAGGCCCCCAAACATCCCTATGTAATAAATCAAAACACTTTGCAGCCCTAGATAGACTAACAGGAAAAGAGGATCTCTTATGTCTAGCAAAGTGGCATGCATCACACACAAAATCATGAGGCCTATGAACAGGTGCAAATTTTATTCCATGTAAAAAATGCAGCTTATTGACTGGATAATGTCCCAGTCTATTGTGCCAAGTCTCCATAGTCAAACTATTACATTTGATATTAGATTCACTACTGCAGATAGACTCCTTCTTCTTTACTGGAGGATGATTGATAAGATATAAACCATTCTTCTGCTTAGCAAAACCAACCATCATCCCAAGGTGCCCCTGAATAGTGCAAGTATTAGATCCCATGACAACTTCACAATTTGATTGCTTTGTCAATTTGCTTACAGAGATAATGTTGAAGGTAAAAGATGGTATACACAACACATTATACAACATTATATCTGCATGAAGTCTGACTTGCCCTATATGTGTGACACTCACTGTTTCCCCATTTGGTAACTGAACAGAAATCCCATAGACCTTATGACAATCATCAAAGTATTCTATAGAGCAAGCAATATGATCAGTAGCTCCTGAGTCTAGTATCCAACTAACATGTGTATCCAAGATGGCATTAATGTTAGGAGTAAGAAGAAACTTGCCTTCATTGTATGTCTCTTCATTTTCTTTGAGATTTGATCTGAGTCCAGAGGTGCTCACAGTGATAGCAGCATTAGTTGAGGCTTGGCTTCCTACATTCTGATTCTGCAAAAACAACAAGAGTTTTTGAATTTGATCATTAGATATCCCTAGGTCACTAACTTGGTTCACAGAGGGATTTGAAGCTTGTGGCATGTCCTGATTCTGTCTGTTCTTGGCCTTATATCCTTGAATCCAACATGTAGGGTAACCATGCTTTTTATAACATTTATCAACAGTGTGACCATTCATCCCACAATAGGTACATTTACAACACTTTTCCCTCCACTATTGAACTTCTTCTTGCCATTATAAGAAGTGGAGGCTGCCACAAGACTTTGATCATCTGCAAGCTGAGAATTGATTTGAATAGCATTGGAATGGATTATCTCATTGTCCTCTGGTTGTTTACACTCTTGATCTTTCTTTCCAGTTTCAAGGTCATGTTAAGAGTTTTCTCCATAGTAGGAAGGGGATCCATGACAAGGATTCCAGATTTCACTGTCTCAAATTCTTCATTTAAGCCATCTAAGAAGCGGATTATCTGATCAGCTTCCCTCTCCTTCTGGATCTTACTGAGAAGACTGCACGAACATCTAGGAACACATTCGCACTTCAGAATTGGCCTCATGATTTTCAATTGCTCCCATAAGGCGTTGCTTCTAGTGAAATATTCACTAACTGTCATGGTGCCTTGTGTGTTCCTGAAGATTTCATTCTGCAGTTCTGCTATTTTGTGAGGATCAACCTAAGAATATCTCTTCTCAAGAGTACTCCATATCTCATTAGCATACTCAAAATACAAGACACTCTCTGCGATGGCAGGATTGAGTGATTTAAGAATCCAGGAGCAAACAATATCGTTGCATCTCTTCCACTGAGGATATTTAGGATCGGATTCTCCTGGATTTGGAATGCTCTCATCGACGAAACCGAGCTTATTTTTGACTCCTAGTGCGATCCTCATTGATCGATTCCAGGATGCGTAGTTCAACTCAGAGATAGGTGGAGAAACGAGGATCACATTCGGATTTTCAGTCACATGAAGGTACAACGGATCGTCTATCTCATCTATTCTCCGGCTAACATTGATCGGAACTTGATTCACCGGACTTTGATTTGAAGAAGCCTCTGCTCCTCCGATCGTATTCCTGTCTCCGTCATCCGGCATCACAACCGTTGCGGCGTAACTTCGGTGACGCTCTGATACCATGATGAGCTTAGCAATGACTCATGGAACCAGGTAACTAAGCAGTAGAGAGAAACATGTATCGAAGAAGAAAAATGGAGAGAAGAAAGATGGAGAGTTTATTGTGTTTGTTACACTTGGAGAATGAACACACAGCAGGGACTATATACACGAAGCAGTTATAACTGCTAAAGAGAGGGAAAAGACTAAAAAGTCCTTCCTTATTAACTAACATCAACTACCACTTGTTGAGCAAGAGAGAACTGCTGCTGTTGGACCAATTCATCAACTGCTGCTTCTTGATTCATTCATCACATTGCAATATGTTATTTTGACCCTTGCAATTGCTCTTGCCCTCCCAATCTTCATTGATCTAATTGAGGGACCTAGCTGCTAACAGGTTTAAGAAAAATAATAAGGCTCTCATTCACAGCAAATACATACATAAATGAGGATTATTGTAGAAATTGAAAATTTAATTTCATTTTCACAATTTTTGTATACATGGACTATGTAAATATCTAGATAAGATGATTTTCTAACTAATATTGAATAATTACGGACTTCAAACTAGGCTCAACTCCACAATGGTTCTCTGCAATTCTAAAATCAAAATCATTACCCAAATTCAATCGGTATATAAAAAAAAATTACAAAATAAAGTTCACCAACTAAAATGAACCAAAGCATAGAATTAATAGTGAATCACCAACAACCAAAATAATAAATTTTGAGATATATGCATCACTGTGTCTTTTAGAGACCAATGCATTTTTCAATGAAACAAAAATAAATATGGTAATAAATCTTATTTACTTGTAAATTTATGAATCACACAAACAAATTGGACAAAGCACCTGTAACAAGGGCAGGTAAAGTACATTCAGCAACACATAAACCCCCCATAAGATCATAGAAGGTGAATATATTTGCGTGAGGATTTGCCAAATTCAATCTGTATAAAAAATGAATTGAAACCCGATAAACTAAGCTCTAAAAATAAAAAGATGGTGGTTCAAGTTTGGCAGCCCATCAGGCTATAGTGGTACAAGGTTGCACCAGCCTGTTATTCTTCCACTGCAAGAGAGGGAGGTTTTCGCTGCTCTGTGAAGCCAGCCTGACGCGGTGCCCTCCAATCTAAGGGAACCCGATAAACTAAGTTCTAAAAATAAAAAGATGGTGGTTGGACCAAGGTTGCACCGGCCTGTTATCCTTCCACTGCAGAGAGAAGGAGGTTTTCGTTGCTCTGTGAAGCCAGCCTGACGCGATGCCCTCCAATCTAAGGGCCAAGACGCCTCCACTTTAGCAGAGACTCCATGGCCCATCTCACCACGTGGAATGGGCAAGCCAGGAGATAGCACCCCAAGCCCAGCCATCAGAGCAAGCCCAATTGTTCCACCATCTTAATGCTCCCACTCGGGTTACAAGCTCACGCTACCAAGCCCAGCGAACAATCGTCGCAGCTAGCAGCTTATTAAGAGAAAATACTTGCCGTATGAATTCGATGTGGGAAATTGGTTCACTGCTTAGCCAGCCCCCGATGCCAATGGTTCTCGATCGATCTTCATCAGCACCGCAGAAACTGCCTGCCAAGAACAGAATGCATGCAGCTGGAGAAACCCCATATATATATATATATATATATCAAACCCGCCCAGGCCAGTTCGTCTTCAACCTCTGCAAATTAAAGCAATGAAGAAGCAAATATGAGAGAAGATCGAACTTGGTTGCCGGCAGCCAAGAAGCTAAACTGCTAAATTAAAAGGAACACTAGTAGTGGTGAGGTTTTAAAATATTAACAATTCTAAGGGTCACTTTATACATATATGTATTATAGTAGAAGCAAAAATAGGTGACAGATCTCACAGATGCAAGCATAGGAGGTAACCATATAGGATTATGTCTGTCTTTTCTCTTTTCTTTAAATTCCCTTACTGACAAGTGACAACCTTGAATGCATCCTTTCATTTATATATTAAATCCATTTTATTTCCCTTCAAAAATCTTGTGCATTCTATTTCTTTTATGCTCCCTTTTGAGTTGGTCATTTGTCTAATTTTTTGAATTTTTTGTGCCCGCAGCCTGCATCTTTAGTGCACTTGTGTTTTGAGATATTAAAACAAGTGTGCTGCCTATCTAATACTCTCGATCTCGATCTCATTTTATCTGTTTTACTTACTATTTTAGTCTGCTCCGAATTAATGTCTATTTTTCAAAAAAAAAAAAAAAATAAACATCATTAAACTTTTACTTTATACGTACTGAATACATTTTATCTTTATGTTTCTTTTTAAACTTTCTATATTTTCACCTCAATTGTCATTTTTGTAAATAAACGAACAAACAAGGAACAAATATCTTATATTCTCTTTGGTTACATGGGATGGAGGGCTTTTTGGTAAATTGTTGACAACATTTCCTACCGATAAAGAGTATATCGATGTGGAGATAGATCAAACAGTCTTCCATCATATAGACGCGTAAGGGGTGTTTATGTGATGATGGAGGATATATGGGATTGGTTGACGATGAATTGACTAGATGATGCATCAATTATTATACAAGTATTTATGCTGCAAGTTTCAAATTGTTCTTTGTGTTTTATATACATTTGTTTGGATTTGTTACGTTGTTGTGTGCTTCATATAAGTGACTATATATCATGTTAGCCATAACAAAAACCCTGTGGATATCTGGTAATGGATCAAGAACTACCACGTTAGTCTTAAGAGAATTGTACTCATCATTTAAGCCTTGGAGGAATCTGATGATCCGGTCCACTTCACGTTCGGTTCTGATCCTTTAATTTGTTCTGTCACAATATAATTCTACAACCTCCAATTAAGCGTTAATTAGTGTGCTTAATTAGTTTCCAAAGATGTAGGCTGTGCATATGCCGCACCTCCATCGGACGATCTTCATGTTAAATTGTGTTTTAATTATATATTTCCTCATATAATGTTAGATTTAATTTGTTTCCCTTCTTACACGGTGATTTACTAACCTAGCTAACAAAGCAAATCTTTTCATGCATCACTTAAAATTATTAAGTTATTCAACCAGTTCCTTAACATGTAGACATCCATTTCGAGACTATGTTATGATGAACCGAGTAAATATAGAAGTAATAATGAGAAGACTAAAATATTCATCATATTCAAAACCCTCATTATTATCATCATTATTAATATATGTATTTTAATTTTATTATGTTATTCATAAATTGTTATATATTTTTATAATTAATATAGGGCATTTCGATCTATTCTGGTGGACGAGGATCTATATAACTATTGATTGAAACGAATGCAAAGCATATAAAATTAAAATTAAAGTTTTAATATGATATTATAGTATGACTATTGATTGACATCCGCCCCAAACTATGTTCTTATTTATATTTTTTTTTTCTAATTACTAATTAGAAATTATAGATATTTATCTATATTATAGTATAAGAGAAAATTTCAATTTTGGTCCACTGACTATTGCACTTGTGTTAATTGCAACACTTGACTATCAAAAATGTTTATTTAATACCTTGACTATGCGATTTCTATCAATTTTGGTCACGTCGGCCAAATTATCGGCCAATTGTGACTGAAAAATTTTAATGGATACAATTTTGAGGGTATTATAGTCATTTTAGTCCTTTTTTCTTTCTTCCCCATGAATCCATCTCTTCCCTCTGGTTTCTGGTGATTGTTTCTTCCTTCGTTCATGAAGCTGCCGTCGCCATCCTTCATCTCTCCCTGTTCGGATGAGTTTGGTCCTCTCTTCTTTCCAAAGCCAACAACAGCAGTGACGAAGCGGCAGTGGCATACAGTTCAAGAAACCAGACAACAAATATAAACACAACCAAACAACAAATATACTATAATACAGTATAGATTAATACTTGGGTTTTTTTTTTAATTTATCCAGCAATGATAAAAAGAGGGCGAATTCTGCAGAGGAAGAATTCAATCTCTTCGCTCAGAGCTCTGTTCGGCGAATTAATCTGTAGTGCGGCGGTGGCTGGAGGTACTCCGGTCGGTGGCGTGGAAATTTCTCCGGAGCAGCAACGCGCACTACTCTGGTTCTTCTTTCTTTTATTTTCTTAATTTGTTGCGTAATATGATTTTTTTTTTTTTTTTTTTTTTGGTAAGGTGCGTAATATGATTCTACATACTCATCTCAATTCCAATTTATTATGTGACTGTGTACTGCAAATTATTAAGGTTAGTTCTTAAGTATGACACTAATTGTAGGCTTAATTATGATGCCCATTCGGTGATTGAAAATGGCGTCTAAGCTTCAGCAAGTTTTAGTAAAAAATTTCCGGCGGCGTAGAAGATAAGAAACGGAGAAGAAAAAAAAAGAGTAAATGACTAAATTACCCTCAAAATTTTATCCATTAAAATTTTCTGGTCACAATTGGTCGGTAATTTGGCAGGCGTGACCAAAATTGATAGAAATTGCATAGTCAAAGAACTAAATTAACATTTTTGATAGTCAAGTGTTGCAATTAATACAAGCGCAATAGTCAGTGGACCAAAATTGAAAATTTCTCTATAGTATAATTTCTAATTCTATTTATATTTTTTTCTAGTTTAGAAAAAAAAATAGAAATATATTATAAAAAATATCTATTTTAATTAGACTATTTTTTAAATTAAATTTTATTCAAATTTGAAATAAAATTAGAAGTTTTGTTCCTATGAGAGTTGGGTCCACTTTGTTTGGATCAAAGGTCCTTCATGTGTGAACCCACTCCTTCCGAACACTTTCGTTTCTTCTAGAATTTTTTATTCCTTTATTTTTAGAAGTTTTTCACTTCTTTCGTTGGCCCCCTTGGTTTAATTTCTAAATGATTGTCTTATTAGACTTATTTTGATGGGTCTGGTCAACTTTCTTGAAACCTAAGCCTTGCCGATTCCGATTATTTCTATAATCAACTGGAGTTGAGTTATGTGTTTATACCACATTATCTGCCGATTGAGGATTAGATTCTTTAACAAACACCGATTTGATAGAAGGTGGTGCTGGAGAAGATGAGGAATTAAAACTAATTAAGTCCGGTTCTATCCTAATGGTTTTTGTATGCTTAGTAATGCATGTGTCTATTGTTTAGGAACTACCCGCATATTTAACACTACAAAAAAAAACACCGGAATAGCGACGGATAATTCCGTCGCTAAAAGCGACGGATTAGCGACCGTCACAAAAACCCTCGTCGTTAGAATTTAGCAACACAATTTATTTCAGTCGCTAGTTTTAGCGACAGAAATGTCCGTCGCAACACGAAATAAATCATTCGCTAGATTTCTTCTGGCGACGGATTCGAAGAGGAAATTTGTGTGCGAATAACGACGGAATATTTTGTCGCTACAATTAGGGACGGAAATTCCGTCGCTAAAATAATAAATTATCCGTCGTTAATTTTCTACTAAGTGACAAAAATATCCGTCGCTAAATTTAACTGCAGATTTTTCCGTCACTATTTCGTTGTCTTTCTACCATATTTGTCCGTCGCTAAATTCTAAAAATTAATAAAACAAATGTACCCACTAATTAATAAAAAAAAAACAGGCATTAAGCCTATAATACAATACTTGAATAGTACAATTATAAAATATATTATATTAAAGCATTCAAAGTCAATAACAATAACATAAGTATAACAATATAATGTTACATCATTAGAACCAGTATCAAATATATTACTAAAAATAATCTAATCATCTCCTAAGTTTTCATCATTTGAATTAGCTAATGTTTAGCTTGAGTACTTGGAGTGAATAGCATGCCGTTGCGACGCAACTCATCCATCAAACTTGCAATCTGAGCTTGCATTTGAACCTGCATTTGAGTTCTTTCAGCTTGTAGTCTAGCTTTCATCTCAACTATACATGTTGGTTCACCATCTCCTTCATTACCTATTGTTGAAGGTGTGAAGTAGCAGATGAACAAGGTTCGCGATCTAGTGAAGTTATGTTAATTTTGGTGTTGTTCTAGTGGCATAAAAGCGTATTAAATTTCAAACTTACATATAGTGTCTTCTTT